CTCTCTCCCTCTCTCTCTCTCTCTCTCTCTCACCACGTCTATAATTAAATGCAAATTTTACACATCCCTATGAAATAATCTGAAAAGTCCGTGTTTAAGAAAGAACATATTTCAATGAACTATTTTTATTGGTTCTCTCTAGGCTATAGCGCAGTCTCCGTAATGTACACTCAATTCGACATGTTCCTCGTGTTACGTTATAAAGCATTATATACACCCCGAATGCAACCATACACCTTTTTTTTTTTTTTTTTTTTGTAAGGCTAGGGTTATTCCCTTTCACAGACCTCTCAACAGAATTTTGATTTTCAGTTTAAAATTACTTTTATTTCAATTTTCCGTAGCTACCCCAGATCAGACATTTAAGAATAAGACGGAAAAATAGCCTTAAGATTTAATTTTTGTTGAGCTTTCTTTACTGCCCCTTCAAAATATGCCATGCAAGGTTTGCCTCCATGTGCTAATAATTGAATGCTCACCAACAAACACCCCCCCCCCTTACCCCTCCATAATATTCCGTTTACAGGCCTGTCAAATGAACAACCCATGTGCCATGCAGCGGTTTGTTTAACAAAAATGGAAGCATGAAAGAGAAATCGCCCGCCCCCTCTTCCCTCTCCCTAGTAATATCATATATAACATAATTCAATAGTACAAGTACATTTCAAACACCTTCAACACTTTGACCCTCCCAGAAAGTATTACCTGAATAACACTAATATTTAAAGATGTGTTATAGGTCTACATTGGGTTAAGTTAAGTGAAATAAAAACCCCGTTTTATCTGACTCAACTAATCAATATATTATAGCATAATAATCCATTTCCATGCATACAGCAATGATAATACCTTCCAGTCACGTGGATCACTTAAACGAACTTGCAAAGGTTATAATTTCAAGCATTAGTGACCCCGTTTGATACTTAGCGCCTTCCTATTGGATTCATATAGCGCCCTCGGCAGCGTTCATGATCGCATATGAATTCAGAACAGGCCTTTTTCAATACCTATAGAACGTTGTATTAGACTTACTGGATTAGCATGTGTATATACAGTGCGTCCCAGAAAAAACGAAAGCGAAATTCATCAATGTTTTATCATAACTTAATCACAATTAATTTAATGAGTGATTTTAAAAAATGTGAGGAAAGGGTACCAGAAAGTCATTTGTGGCGGTATCTGAATTTCAAAGAGAAAATTACATTTTTAGAAATTTCATTATCTGCCCTGTCATATGACACCTCAATCAGGAAAAATGAGCCAGGAATAACAAAGTTCTGTTTAAAGTAATGCTTGCATTTCCATAATTTGTAGTAGGAGACCAGCCTAGCTGTAGGTCCTGTGACCAATCTCTGGGAACAAAGGTTTGAAAGTCAATATGGTTTTAGAAAATTTCATTCAGCGGAGTTGGCATTGTTAAAATTATTTGATAGAGTGTCAAATGCCTTAGCTGATCATAAGCATGTTATTGGAGTATTCATGAATCTGAGCAAGGCATTTGACACTCTTGACCATACAAGACTTTTTTTGTATTTTTTTTTTTGTATTGAAAATAAAACTCAACGACATCGAATACAGTAATAACATATAAATAAAGTAAATGGATGTATACAGAACACGGTACAACACAGGACAATACAACACAAAACAGCACAGCACAAATGCCTCACTCTAGTCAGTTACATTTGTACATATGTAAAGCTCACCCTGACATGCTTTAAGGTTGTATATCATGTAAGAAAACCGAGACTGGACTCGTCAATGAGAGGCTCCACTGAAATACAGTAATATTAACAATATAATAACATAATTGACAATAAGGAAGTATAAAATTTATTAAATACCAGGGGACCAAAATTCTACAGGAAAGAAAGTGACCATTTCCTTATGTGGGAGCTCAGTTTACCTTCTTCTCTGCTATTTTATATTCAATTTTCTGTTTCATTTTTACAAAAGAAAGGAAACCATATTACAAATGAGAGACAGATACAATCCCTCTCTCATACCATGCATAATAAAAACAAGGTATATGCCTTAAACTCAAATTTTTGTTATACCAAATATAATCCAGCATGTGATAAGTTTCTAAGTTCAATTCTTTTACAACTAAAAATCTGTATTCATACCAGAATATCAGGCCCGAATTCACAAAGGAGGTACCTCCTTTTGTTTCGACAAACCTCCTTTTGTTTTTTACAAACCAAGGTTTGTAAAAACACGTCAGAACGCGTCGTATGACGCACATAAACCTCGGTTTGTCGACAAACCTCCTTTGTGAATTCGGGCCTCAAAGTTTCAACCAATTGACAATTTTTCAATTTGTGTAGTATACTTAGAGAAGCTTCTGCTTTCCAGAGCATATATAGATCATTATGAAACAATTTAAGCATTTCTATTTCTATGGATTTACAAGTACTCACATAACTATCATCCAAAATATTTTTCACCCAAACCATTTTCTGTGATTTTGCAAATATGCATGGATCAATCATTTTAAGGCCACCTTCTTCATATAAATTACAAAGTAAAACTCGTTTCACCCTATCTACCATTACTCCATATAAATTTATAAAGTAAACTATTCAACTTTAAAAAAAAAAGATTTAGGAACATCCAATACATATCACAGAGAACAAATACAATAGCTGGGGCAATAAAAGAGATTTGACAACTGATATCTTTTTCAGTTTCATGGGATAATTAAGTTCATACAAAGATTTAGTTGATAAAGAGAATGTTACTCCCAGTGCTTTAAAGGTCTTACTTCTCCAGGTAAGTCCTCTCTCGTCAAAAGGTTTTTCTTCATTATTCTTTAAACTGCCAATATGTATGGCCTCAGACTTAGACATATTTATCCGACACCCTGAAAAACTTTCAAAATAATGTAACAACTCAAACAAATTAACAAAAGAATCTATTTCACCATTCAAAAAACAAATAGTGTCATCAGCAATAAACTAACTTTCTTCTCCACTTCACCTATCTTAATTTCTTTAATATCAGGACTAACCCTTAACGAAATAGCTAGAATTTCAATTGCCAAAACAAATAAATAAGGTGAAATAGGGCACCCTTGAAAAATACCCCGGCTCATAGGGAAGGGCTTTGTTAAAAACCCATTATTTATAACATAACTAAATCTATGATTTTAAAAGGTTTTTACAATATTGATCAAATTCTTGCCAAGATCAAAGTGTTCTATAAAGACTTAAACAAATATGCATGCTCGATCCTATCAAGAGCTTTTTCGAAATCCAAAAAAAACTATTGAACCAGGGGCATCTATAGCATCAGTATATTCAATAAAGTCTATGATAGTGAAAACATTTGCACTAATATTACGACCACTTAAAATCCATGTTGATCTGCATGAATTAAAGAATCAATTATCTTTTTTAGTCGATGACTCATTACTTTAGCAACTAATTTGTAATCTGCATTTAACAAGGAAATGGGCCTATAGTTTTTAATTTCTAACGAATCTTTACCTTGCTTTGGTATCAGAGTAATTACTCCATTTCGTCGAATTTGAGATAACAAACCATTAGAGAACCATACAATACTTATACGTAATTTGGAATACTATGGATTGAGGGGTGTTGCTATACAATGGTTCAATTCAATTTCATTCAATTCAATAATTCAATAAGGGTTTATTCATATGAGGTTCTGGCAGCCGAAGCTGAATTGCAGGTCATTTATACGAGGTAAAAACATCATGATATTTAAAATACACTGAGCATTATACATGTTAACATAAAATAAAATTAATGACATATAAAAGGATAATTATATACTAGATACATATATACACATAATAGGCAACATCATTAAACATAAACATATTAAAAAAAATACATGAAGCTTACTTTTTTGAATAATAATCGTTTAAGATACGAACAAAATAGGGAATAGAGCTATTATTAAAGCAATTGGTTTTACAAATAAATTGAGAATATTTCTGTACATTTTGTAAATTAAATTTAACAATTCTTTGCCCATAAAAAATTATTTAACAAATAGAAAACAATATGTATGTTATGATTAAAATGAATCAGAATTAGTATCTATTACATGTGGAGTGCCACAAGGGTCAATCCTCGGCTCTTTGATATTTCTGATATAATAATAATAATACTAATAGCCAAATAGTCCACTCCAAATTTTATTAAACCGAAACGGAAATTCTTTTTGCCCAATTGATTGTGAGCCCGGCAGCCACTGAGCAGCGCCAGATTGATGTTACTCTATCCCATATTGTTGAACGCCAAACAAGGTAGCAACAACTCCCATCTTTTAACGTCTGTTCGTATGACGCGGCCGGGATTCAAACCCACGGCCTCCCGGTTGTGAGGCAGACGCTCTACTGACCGAGACAACACTCCGGTTTGTAAATGATATTTATAGTTCATCAAATGCACTACAGTATATTTTATTCGCTGATAACGCCAATGCATTTTTTTTCAATTCAGATTTTCAGATTCCTTTAAGAAATATTAACGCTGAATTACCAAAATTATCAAAATGGTTTAGAAGTAATAAACTGTCTCTTAATTTAAAGAAAACAAACTATATATACTTTCAGAACAGAAGAAATAATGATATTCCTGACATTGAAATTACTTTGGATGGTGAATTACTGAAAAAAAAGGATAGCACAAAATTACTTGGTGTTTTGATCAATGAAAATCTGAGATGGAATAATCATGTGCAATATATTTCTAATACTATTTCACGAAATATTGGTATTCTCTGTAAATTGAAATATTATGTCCCTTCAAATATCTTATTTATGTTATATAATTCATTAATACTGCCTTATATTTCATATTGTAACATTATATGGGCAAATTCGAAAAGCAACATTTTACTGTTACAAAAGAAAGCTATACGTATATGTACTGATTCTTCCTATCGCGACCACACCAATCCCTTGTTTTCAAAACTAAAAACTCTATAAGCTGATGATATAAATATTCTACAAATAGCACTTTTCATGTTTCGCTTACAAAATGGTGTATTACCTTCATACTTTCTCCCATTGTTTAATTTGAATAAAACCATCCACTCTTACCCTCAAGGCAAACTGAAAAATTCCATTTAAGAAATCCAAAAACCGCATTGGCTCTCAAATCCATTAGACACGCCGGCCCAGACATCTGGAACTCTCTGCCCATTGTAATAAGAAACCTTAGGACATCGTATTCTTTTAAGAAGGTAGTTTAAACTATGTTATTGTCCAAGTATTGATCCTGTCATGTGTAATTTTATTGTATTCATGTTCGTGTGTACATTGACTATATATTCAACAATGATGTGTAATCGTCCATGACCTAGCATCGTTTAGCCATTCATGAATGAAACTGCATTCAATCAGCAGATGTATGAGATTTGTTTTATTAATACCAACGCTTCTTCTCTCCCCTTTCCTTTTCTTCTCTGCAAGTCACTCTTTTTAATTTTTATTGTTGTATCTAAGTTGAGGGCTATGGGCACGTCAAGCTACTTTGCTATATTTCTGTAGCCCTTCTGCATCTAATGACTGTTAAAGGAGTCACACCAAGAAGCAAAAGTGTATTGAATTGATGCAAAATTCATATCATTGCGATGGGAAGCCTTACTGATCAAATACAACAAATTTAAGAAATCAACTTTCAAAAATGTTAGTTTTGAGATCCAGATTTACTGCCTTCAGCAGTCCTTCGTATGACGTCACTATTGTGACATCACCCCCTGGACACGGCTGTCTAGCTGCAGACTAATACATGCGCGACTCCGGTATGCGGCCAGTACCGAGCTGTTTGTCCAGGGTGTGACGTCACTATTCAGAGCTCGCTACGCCCGTGTGTTTGGCTTACATTCGGGGGCGCTTGGGGGTCAAGAAGGGTCTTGAAAATTGCATTTTACGCCTTTCCATGATATCTATATGATTTCTCAGCAAATTATTCGTGTTTTTCAAGAGAAAATCTTTCCATCCATATGTAATTTGTTCTAATTATCAGTTGTTAGTAAATTTTCTTTGTGTAGCTCCTTTAATTATGCATTCAATATATTGTTTAATTTCGTTTATTAGCTGTATAAAATTATATACACTTAAAAATATTGTATCAAACCATATTATGTTCATGAAAATGTATGATGAAAAAAAGAAAAAAGATGCAGAAACCAATAAATCATATCAAATCAAAGTGTTTTTGTGTTCCCTGATGAATACCAAACAATTTTGACTTGGGTTGCCCACTTGAAAATTTCGGGCATTTTCGTGAGGGGCCAACAAAGGTCAAACAGGGGTCAAAATTCATATATATTCAAATCATGTCGATATGCATATCAAATTACTCGTCTGGTCATGAGGATTCCAAAAATGTATAGTTTGTTGTACCTCCGACCTATGGTCAAAAAGGTCAATGCACTTTAGACTGGTGGTCAAATTCTCCAACACAGTTAACATCGTCCGATTCTAATGATTTAAGTGTCTAATAATATGTTTTCTGACATAAAAAATTCAAATAAGCAACTTTTCAAATCAAAAGTGGTTACCATAACCTTGAAATTTCCCCCAAACCCATGGATAAGAAGTTTTTAAATGTTTGTCACCGAAATGGCAGCCATTTTTAATGTTCATGGTCAAGGTAAGCACTTTTACTTTTGAAAGTTGTATAGTCACCTATCAGAATATGACCTTTGACGCGGCGGCGTAATGCTGCTGAATCCAAAGTACCCCACCGGCATACTGCCGGGGGATGCAATAATAGTAGTGGGTTCTTGTATAGCGCTCATGTCTGTCATATGTGACGCTCCTGTCTTGGTTTGAAGACTATTTGCGTAATAGACATCAATATGTTATTTTTAAATCTAAAAAATCTAATATTTCCACCGTAGACTGCGGAGTACTCAAGGCTCTATCTTAGGTCCCTTACTGTTTTAGTATATATATATATATATATATATATATATATATATATATATTAATGATATTGTTTAAACATCACCACTCCTAACACACGTTTTGTTCGCATACGATACCAACGTAATTTCTTCACATAAAGACTTAAGCATTCTTATTACAACCCTCAATTTAGAATTAAATAAATTTTCATCTTGTTCAAATAAAAAAATTCTCTCTAAATATTGATAGGACTAATTGTATTTATTTCAAAAACATCCACTCTAAACATGTACTTCATTATAATATTTGTTATAGATATCCCAATAATTGGAAAAGAAGTTACAAAATTCTTAGGTGTAATGATTGATTAAAATATAACTTGGAGTCGTCATTAACAACATTTGCATGTTAGTCTCGAGAGGCATACCTAGGCATTTTATATAAATTAAAATTTAATCTATCACAAAAGTCACTAGTTATACTTTACAGTTCTTTCATTTTGTCATACATATCTTATTGTAACATAGTGTGCAGTAATAGTAATAAAGTGAACATTATGCTAATATATCATCTCCAAAAGAAAGCTCTCTGTCTTTGTACACATTCATATTATTTAGCCCATACCGATCCAATATTTTATAAACTAAAACATTAAAAATCACTGATATTCACAGTTTTCAAACTGCAATCTTTATGTATAGAATTTTGATAAATACTATACCTTTGGCATTTCAAAAATTGTTTGTTTACAACAGTGATATACTGTTATTGTTATTTGAATGTTTTGTATTTGATTTATCAATAAACGCAGAACCATCTGCTAAAATTTTTTTTTTTAAAAAGGCCAACAACAACAAAGATTATCATCAAGTAACGGCCTATAGTATTTTGACAAATTAGCTACGTTTATCACTTTATATAGAACTTATGTTATACAGGCAAACAAGTCCTTGTGGCCACCTCTCTATAAAGGCCCCCTGTTTGTAGAGGTCAAGCATTTTGTTCCCCTTGAGAAAGAGTAGTATTTTGCAGAAGCTGTCTGCATTTAGTGGCCATTTTTTTTTTTTTTTTTTTTTTTTGGGGGGGGGGGCGGTTTGTTGGGTGACCTTTGTAGACAGGTGTAAACTGTATTAAAACTCGTTCTGTGTCCTACCGGTACTTCATGGAATAAATTCGTACTCCGGCTCAGTATTTCCATTGGCCACTCCTAAGTTTGATTTCTTCACTCCATTTGTTTGCTTCACTATTGTTTGATTTTCATTTTCTAACCCCTCAATTGCATTTGTGTGGCCTCTATTTCCATCTCTAGTTGCGTTTATGTCCTCGTAGGCTGCCTGCTTCATAGTTGTTGCATCTAAGGACGTGTAGGGATCGAGTTCCTGGCCCTCTCTGTCACTGACCGACTGCTTTAGAGCGATGTTAGAGCGTCTGAAATAAAGGAAAGAATGATTTTTGGTGAAATATAACATTGTATTCTTTTGAGATTAAAATGACTATATATATCCAATCATTAGTATCAATATTGTTATCATTAAATATATTTTATTGTTATAATTTATATCATCTTGATTGTTATTATTATTAATATCATTATATAATTGATTTTTTATTATCATTGTTATTATCATTATCATTGATTTTAGTATCATTATTATTATTATCATCATTACAAATGTTATTATGTTAATTGTAGTTCTTCTTTCTTAAAGTTATGAATATGATGATGATGGTGATGATAATATTATCAGTATTTTTTATTTATTGTGTGAGGAAGGGGGAAATTATATTTATGTACTTTTTTTTACTAAATTTTTGCTCAGTTATATATACTGCAAATGTTTTTTGTTTAATTATGTTTATGTACAAGCAATCAATATTGAAAAGATTTATTAATTTTATTCAATTGTATGTTTGCATTACACAATTGGAGGAATAAAAAAAATATATAAAAAAGTGTGTTTGGAGGGGGTAAGTTTGGCTGTTCTATAAGTCTATTGGGTAGGGGTGGGTCAAATGTCAACTTTATCTCACCTGAGATGCAGGTACATCAATGTTATGATAAGACCATACAAGGCAACAAAAGCAAGCAGTATGCCCACAGCGATAATGCTGATCATTTCTGGGGAAGAAAAATATAAAATAATGAAATTAAAGACAATGTACAAGGCTGTTAAACTTCACAATGCACAAACATCATAATCTTTATAGTCACTACCCCATATGGATACCTAGAATCACAGCAACTTTTGTGTTTACACTTATATGAATTTTCACCATTAAAATATGTTTCTAAGTATAATCTCGTTGTCTAGGCTAGGGGCCATTCTAACAAGTTTCATGACTTTACCTTTAAAGGAATCCGGCAACTTTTTCTCAGATTCTGAAACAGAATCCTGGATTTAGCTCATGCTGCAATGGTAATTATAAACCTGTTGGTCAGTCAGGAATCCCATGACTTTTACAAGCCGATCGCCTGTCTGGTTATCAAGATATTTATGATTGGAAATCGAAACCAAATTTTGCGTTTTCCTAACGGTTTTCATAACACTTCTTGATCATTTTCAAGTGCAATTTTTTTAGGGCTTCAATATTACACATCATAGACACTGATAACATGTACATGTAGGGCCATGTATCTCAGATTTAACGTTGTTTAACGATGCCTTTAATATCAATTCACAAAATGATAAACATAATCATGAATCCTACGAATCAAGAATTACATTTGAAAACAACCACTTATGATGATAGCTTAGTTTTACTTCATTACTATCGCTTTGTTATTGTTTTAGTTGATCTATTCATGTTAAAGTACAATTGGCTTTCCAATTTTGTATACCGATTCTGAAATTGAGGGAATGATGTTTGAATCTAGTGTGTTTCATTAGTGCTCTTTATAATGAGGTTCCATTGCTTGAGGGACAAGCCTATCAGATTTGTCACTTAAATCCATTATTTCCAAAAAAAACTAGAAGTTTATTGTTAAAAAACTGTCCCCAGAAAAAGAAGAAATTTCATTTTCTTGAGTATACCAACTACTCAGTAGCCCTTTTTGAGAGAAACCAGATGAATGATTAAAGTTATTGACTGAAAAATAACATGAACGACCTTAACAAGATTTGAGAACAACTTTTTGAAAGGCTTTAAAGAAATTAATCAAAGGCAATAATTCTATACCATCGCGTATAGAAGTGTTTGGATTATTATGTAACATGTCATAGTAATTTTCAATCATTCACAAAAAGGTGACGGACAATTAAGACATTATTATTATTATTATCATTTTCATTATTATTATTATTATTATCATTATTATATTATTATTACTACTTATACCATGCTTTTTCTTTGCTCACAGCGCTTACGGTATATGACAATCACATAAAAACATTCAATAATAAAAACATTCAATAATAAAAACAATCTTACAATAAAAAACTGCAAACAAAAAATTATTTTCAAGGCCTTCCTCAAGGTAATAACCAATGGAGACCCAATGTTTAATTTTAAGTAGTAGATCATTCCAGTATTACAATGAATCTTTAAAAATGTCATTTGTTCTAGCTTAGCAGCGGTATCATTTAGAACCAACCATTTCATTTACAGAATGATGATGAGATGGAAATTGTCATGATATGGACATACCAAATCATACAAATTGATCTTGAATGCATAAGTTATTAGTCACTTACCATGCTTAGTGCCAATTGCTTGTCTTATCATATTTATTTTCCTTTTATAAAATGTTTAGTTGCTATTAATTTTTATCATTAATGAATGTAATTTAGCTTTAATTTGTTCATTGCATAATTCATTAAGAAATTATAAGAGAAATCTTATCTCAACTAATCTTAAACAGCTGAGCATGTAAAATGAAAGATTTTTTTATTTAAAGCTGTGTAAATAACATGGGCGTAAATCTGTAATTGATACCTATTGTTCAGGAGGGATGATCTATTCATTCATCCCCCCCCCCCTGAACAATAGGTATTACGTAAGGATTGACGCCCATGGTAAATAATATGATGCAATGCTTTTTAGGAAGATCTATCTATCTCTGTTTCATAATTTGTATCTTGTATGGACATGTAAACATCTACCAGAGATCATGCTTGTATATAACCTGGTTGCTGATGCAAAGATGACGCTCTGAAGAACAGGCTGGAGGCGAGGGAAATTAGCTTGGACTTGATCATTAATCTCAAATAACAAGCATTTTCAAACATCAACAACTCTATAGCCACCCCCTTTCAGGGTTCTTTAAACAGAACCCCTTGTCCACCCCCCTCAACAATAATTATAGCAAAAAAGCATGTTATAGATAGAGGAGATTGAGGACACATTCAAAAGACAACAAAAGCAAGGTGAAAAATAATCAGTTCGTTTCAGCAGTCTATTAAAGTAACTATCAGAAAATATCCAAACCCTATGCAGGGAGAGTTTCAAGCTTGATATCACTGATAGTGCAATTTGTCTAAAGAATACAAGATTTTGGAGAATAATAGATATCAAAGACAACTACACGTTTAGATCTGTTATTTAGTTTTACTTTTCTAAGTATAATTAATGCGAGCGTAATCATTCGCTTATGATAGGTATATGAAGTTTGTCTTATTTTTCTAAACAATCACTTCTTTTTTCCTATATGTTTTCGGGATGTGGCTTTCCTCATACAATGAATAGGATTGAAAATGTATTTTTTATATCCTAATTGCATGCTTGTCAAATCATGACTTCATTGAATCCCAATGAATTATGTATTCGGCGTTAGTAACTCTTCCTCTTCCTACTAAACAGTGCCACCATTTTGAAAGACATTTAGTTTATTCAATATCAGTCTATTTTTGCATCAACAATTCATTTCTTTAATTTTTTTTCTACTGTTTAATTTATAGAAAATGTTTCATCAATATTTATGTCATCTTCAATGTGAACACATAATTCCCACACATAGTTGACTATGTGTACAAATTATTTTCATATATTATCACTGTTTAATGTAAGTCATTGCGACCACACTTATTATGTCAACATATGGAAACGTTTGCTTGGATTTGTCTCATAAAACAACTTATGTGAATGGGTAAATTCTGACAAAAATATAAAACCAATCAATAATAATAATAATATTTTTGCTTTATATACAGTAAGTCCCAGAAAAAAGAAACCGAGAATTATCGATGTTTTATCATAACTTAATCACATTTATAATTAATAAATGACACATATTTGGAAAGCTTAGATCCTCCTCTTTGATTTGATGTAAGTCATATGATGCATATTTCATGTATGAGCGATTAAAATCAATTTGAAGAGAGGAAACCGAAAAGTCATTTGGCGGGCGGTATCTAAATTTCAAAGAGAAAATCACAATTCTAGAAAGTTGGGTTTCTGCCCTGAGAGGGGTATTATTAGAAAGCAAATTTTTATTTTACTTTTGCCTTGGATTTAGGCCTGTTTTGACTTTTTGATTTTATAATGAAGCCAGGAATTTCAGCAGTCTGATGTAGACTCATCTCTAGACCCCCTATGGATTTTATTTTTAATCAAGGCAATGAATCCCGTGGATTTTTTGGGAAGCCTGCAAGGTCTTAGTCTAGAACCAACATAACTCTAGATCGAACTCTCGTACGTAGACTCTAACGTAGATCTAAACTTTTGTTTGTTGCTATTTGTGTCGCTATTTTATAAAACAAATAACGCACTTGACCCTGTTGTGCGAAACGTAAATGCAGTGTACGCTCAGTTTCTTCAGATGGTGCGCACTGTGAACTCTGCGCAAGCGGCTCGTTGCACAGAGCGGCACCAATCTAAAGAAACTCGCATGTGCTGCATTCACCGCTTTTCCACGTTGGGACATGCATTATTTGTATAGTATGTTTATTTGCATTTGCTGTGTGTTTTATGAAAATGAAATGAATAAAGGAACGATTTTGTCATTTAAATTGTATGTTCTTTCAAATTTGACACTCAGTTTTTCATTTTCGCATAAAATTATTTTGTGTAGCGCCCTCTGCAACAGAACTCAACTATCCCTTAAGCTAGACTACTTACTTGTCTCACAGTTGGTCCCTGAAAGGCATTCTCTGCAGATACACTGGTAGTTAGTCAGATCTGTTGGTACACATAAGTCACCATTCTGACAGCGATTTGGGTTGCAGGGGGTACCTGAGGGGATTTTTAAAAAAAAAATCATTTGGCAACATACATCAAGATACAAAAAACGATACATTCACATACAAACAAAAATGAAATCGATTGAAAACAATTGTTGTGATAAATTGGCTAACATGTGTCCCAAATATACTTGGGGAAATTCAATTCCATTTGATATAAAAGTGAAATGCTCAAGGCAGTAATACAGTATGTCTGAATGAATATTTCTGCTTTTCTATTGAGAAATATCACAATACCTTCCATCCATCAATCGATAGAATTTCAAATATTTTTAAAATGTCATTGATCCTACTGTTTGCAACCGATGCACGTTTCTTCAATTAACAAGAATTCTTTCAAATCTGCAGCAAAAGGTACCGGTAAGTGTGAAATTGCATCTGGATCAGTGCAGCCATCTGCAGGCCATCATCATTTATCTGGATAAATCTATCTTTGACTCCGCATACATGAAATTTCACAGCTATCTCCAGCCGAGTGCATGTACATACATATATCAAGTGAAAACCATTAGTAGTCTTTATGGTCCACAAATGGCCGACACAACCTCTAATCTACCCTATGCATTTCAAAGGTTCTTTGACACTTGATGTTGTACATGTAGATACCTGTGTTAATGGTGACTGTGAACGTGCAGCTGTTTGAGTTGCCAGAGAAGTCAGAATATGTGTACGTGACTGGAGTCACTCCAACGGTGAAGAGGTCACCAGAACTGGAGGAGGACGATACAAACACCACCGTGCCAGAGTTATCCGATACAACAGGAGGGTCCCAGGTTACGTAAGTACCATTTGAGCCTACTATCACAGTCTGCTGAATGTCTGCAGGACACATCACTTGTGGTGGTATATTTTCCTCTGTCAGTGAAAGTAAATGGGATGTGTATTACTGAGAGTTACCTACATATTCAATTAGATAATGCTATACTCTGTAACTTATGTAACTATCTGGAAATAAAGAAGCAGTAATAAAGGTCTTATTTGTTTATAAAACAACATTCATTTAATTTAAGTTACAGACGTTGCAATATTTCTGTATGGAAATATTTATGAATGATTTCAATACAAGCCTGACAATTCCAGATGTAACTATACACATTTATTCCAACAAATTATCAAATCATACTCAATTTAAATGTGTTTCACAACATGCACTATCATTGTTAAGTATGGATCTATTGTACATCCACATTTATAAAGTGAATATTAGAAAAAAGTATACCTAAGTTTGCCATGGATAGCTGAGCAACAGACTTTTAACAAAATTATGTTAAAATCCTTTTGTACCAAGTTTGTGCTGAAGCAATGAATGAGGGTCAAAAGCCCTTACCCATTGTTATTTCAGTCCGAAAACAAATTGCTGATATCATTAACCGCATTAATTCTGTGCATTATAATAGAAAAGGTAGTAATGTCAACTCCTTTTCAAGGAAAGGCTCATTTACAAGCAATGTTAATGATATCCCCTTTGTTATGATGACACAACCCTGGCAACTCACATGTCCCTTGTTTAAGGTAAGCCTTGTCATTGGGTCATTCAACACGGACACAGTTTACTTTTATGAAGGCTATCTACCTATCATGTAAGTTTATGAAAGTCTATTGTCAATATCTTTGGTAGTTATTATCATGACTTTCTTTCTTGCATTTACTGAATCTTTAAATATAGTAAACCTCCATTTTGTAGTATGCACCTTTAATACATGCACATCAAATATTGCAATGGACAAGTAAGAAGTGAGATTTTGGATATTATGAAAGAAAAAGTTTTAAGGATGTTTAGAAAAAGTTTAGGTTATCGTGTGGATTGAAACAAGGTCCTGTAAAAGCTTGGATACATTGGATCACTTTAAACAATGAAGCACAGAAATATGTAGCAGTACTTAACTCTTAAAAGGATTTCAGTACGCATACATACACTATGAACATGACGGACAAAGAAAGCGGACAAAATATACAGTTCGTCAGGTAAACAAAGGAACATCCCTTCACTGCTATTATGTAAAGATGTGTAAAACAGGTGTCACATGCATATTCACCTGTTCTACACATTGTACATAATAGCAGTGAAGGGATGTTCCTTTGTCTACCTGAGGAACTGTATATTTTGTCCGCTTTCTTTGTCCGTCATGTTCATAGTGATATAGCCTGACCCACATTCGGTAAATCGGCCAATACTTGGTAAAAGGATTTTTTGATAGTATCTTTATTACACCCTGCTGCTCAGTCATCCGTGGCAGATAAAATATGAATAGGATATCCTTGGACATAAAACAAGTTAATCTTTGCCATGAGTTAGATTCTAAGCTCACATTAATTATGACTTTTTAAATTTATGACTTTATTGATACATTACTCGCATTATTTCCAATGGTTCATACTTCCCCAAAAATGAAATATGGGAAAAGATCCTAAAGAAACAGTTAAAACTATGTCTTATTCAAAATGAAAAGAAGTTGCTAGGGCCTTGTTCAAAATAAAATTGACAATTAAAATAAAAATGCTCATGCTTCAAAACGAAATGGAACTCAAGCAATTTTACTTGCAAAATCACCATTTTGAAACTATATTTTTTCTCACAGTTTAAAAGTTATTATCTCCATCCTTAATTTAGAGTCGAGTTAAATATCAAATGAAAGCGTATGATGTAAGGGCTGTTGTTTCTAATGGCATAAATGAACCAAGTGTAGTAATGTAAGGACACAGTAACCTGTAAGTATCCTATAGGTGTTGATACACTTAATGTGAAGTATGTTTAATACTGTGATGATTAAACCAGTGACTACTGAATTCTTTCATTCCCATTGGCTTGATGAAGAGACCACCTGGTTCCAATAGGAAATGGGTTAAAGAATCGGTCACAAAATGACAACATACGTTGGACTGTCTTACACATTGAAATATATACAAATCATGGTCAGTACAAACCTTGTGTAACTGTGACCCGGAATGAACAGCTATCTGTCAGCCCAGCTGCATCCCTTGCTGTGTACGTAACCGTAGTTACACCACCAAAAAACTGACTACCAGGTTGGAAAGAAGCTGTTATTGCTAGTGTGCCAGAATCATCAGTTGCAGTGGGTGGTGTCCAGAATACAGCAACTGAGTTTGCTGGTGAAATTAAAACTCCAGAAGCAGATGCTGGGCAATTGAAAAGCTGCGGTGCCTGGTTTCCAACAGTTTCTTGATTATGATAAAAACATTGAAAAAAAGAATGAGTAAGTGTGTGTGTGTGAGAGAGAGAGAGAGATGTAAATTTAAAATCTGCAAAGGCTTAAAAAATATAATGAGATACATGAATGTTGAACACTTAATGCCTATGTACCATATGGTGTTGTATATAATGCATGTTAACATGTATCCAATCTAGTCATCCTCTATATTTTGATAATATTCTTTCTCCCCAAAACAGAAGAAAAACATGATCGATTGACACAAATTTCTTGCATCCATAACACAAAATTATCTTTAATCTGGCTGATTTTCAGCATGATTTCCCAAAATATCATCACTTCATTGGTTCAATTTTGAAGAAAATTATTGGTGGTAAATCAAGTCTTTATTAGAGATCATGTACACACAAAATCCAGGCCCGGTCAACCCAGTGGGTTAGGCAGCAGGTTATTATGAACAATATATACAATAGCAAAGTACATTAACAATAACAATACAGATTACAGTGTAATAATATATGTGATAACAAGGAGCACCAGGATAGAGAGAAAGGGAAAAGAAAGAGGCGAAAAGGTGAAAAGGAGAAACGGAGAAAAGGAGAAAAGGAGAGAAAAACAGAGAAAATGAAGAATAAGAATAAACCAAAAATTAGAATTTGAAAAATGTGACTTTTCTCCCATTTTGACGGATTGGTCGCATATTTAGAGGTCTTTGATTGTTTGCATGCTTCTTCTCCAAAGTACAGCTCTACCTTGTTCACTTTCAATAATATTTGTAGACAAGTCAGGTCTTCAAACCAGCGCTCAAAATACATGGGGGCGATGGGTGATTCGCCCCCGTGAGCTCCATAATCGCCCCCGTCAGGTTGCTCACGGGGGCGATTGCAAAATTAAAAATCGCCCCCGTGGAATTATAAAATAAAGATTATCTTTTCTGATATAACTGTAACACAATATTGAGTATCAATTTTCAATGCGGCCATCAGCAACGACTATACTGCGCCGGTAGTACCTCAACCGCCTAAGAACTGGCTACGGTCGATGCAGAGTCCTAATGCAGAGGTGGGGTCTAAGAGACGAACAAACGGCATGTGAATGCGGCCAGGAACAGACAATGGAACACCTGCTAGTCTGCCCACTCCTGCCAGAGCCATGCACCCAAGATGACCTGGAAGCCGTTAATTGCCGTGCCAAAGCCTGTGTGGACCACTGGACGGGACTTGTGTAGTGACTCGATAAGAAGAAGAAGAAGTACCGGTGGGCACGCTGATGCCCAATTTCTGCTGGAGCTGGAGATGATCGCACAAGGACTGAAACATGGAGAAGTTTTTCGTTGTGAAAAGTGTGAATCCTCTGAAATCTGGTTATTCTAAAAGACCAGCAAATAATGAAACTCGACCAGTAAATCAATATTGAGAAGAAGATCACCAAAGATGTTGCAGGGGCAGATCTAGGTGGTATAGGGGGTTTAACCCCCCCCCCCCTCCCCACCCATCTTGGGCTGCCAAGTGAAAAGTGATGTGCATAGAAAAATGTTATCATTTGTCCAGACGTACACAGTATTAGTAGATGTCAGTAGATGCCAGGAAAACATCACTAACGGGGGTTCAAAATAGCAACAACAAAAATCGCTCCACATCGTATTTGGATTACCCCGCCCCCCAATCCTTAGCAAAAAGCTAGATCCGCCCCTGTGTTTTGGAAGGATATGGTAAAGACTAAAAGTAAAGAAAGAATGTAAATAAGGTTGCTTCGAATAATGAGGACATTATGTGCAGAACAGGAAGAAATGGAGAGAATGTCACCACGTGGATAAAAGTCAATAACAGCTGTGTAACAAGTAAATTTCTAAGAGGGAAAATGCCGACTTAAATAAATGATAATGATAAAATACCAAGGAATTTAGGAGTTTCATGGGTATCAATACAATGGAAATTTGTATTAAAATAAGAGCCCCCGTCAGCACTAAAAGAGCACCCGTGAGAAGGCTCACGGGGGCTCTTTTTCTTTTGGAAGAGCCCCTGTGGACAAAAAATTAATTTGAGCCCTGCTTCAAACCCTTTTCTTCTTTTACTTCCCGAAACAATATAATCACGGGGGATCGATCTTTTGGCCATGCTGGATCAGCTCTGTGGAATAACCACAGCCTCTTACTGAAATATATACTGTAAACTCATTCAAGTCTTCTCTCAAAACTCACCTGTTCAAAACCGCTTTAAATCAATTCAATATTTCCACAATTTCATCTTTGTCTTTCATGTATATTTTTGTCAACTTATTTTTCAATGTACACTCTAATTTGTATTGTTCATGTGCCCTTTATTGCAATTTACATCTATAAAATAGAACTATAATTTTCATCTAATTTGACCCACAACATTTAACATTTGGTCTTATTATCCCAAAACTAACCAACCTATTTCATTGAAGAGCTCTATTGGGATGACACATACATTTATTGCATGAACACTAATATTCAGTGAGAAGAATATCGGGAACCAGATTTGTAAAAATGTAGTCATACAGGATGAATCCCGTTTAAATTGACATCCAAAAAAGTGTCAAATTACTAAAAAAAGGCTTGTCTACTTGTTTCTTAATCCAACCTCCACCTGTGTATCCACAGGGCATGATACAACACAGGTAACACTCTATCAACTAAAAGATGAAATTTGGGAAGCATGAAGGTATGAGGAGTTGGACAAATGTCATCAAAAGATTTTCATATCTGTACCTAGATGCTGCTTGTAAGTATCAGCTTGCATGGTGATGTAGATATACAGTAAGCTTGCAGTTGCACCATGTGAGGGAGAGGGAGGATTGAGGAGTGCTGAAAAGGACTCTCTGTAATCTTTCTTGAGGATGTGTAGTCTTGAAAAAGACTGTTGGTTATCTTTCTTAGCATATAGTTCTAAGGAGAACTATAGCGCCGATTAGAGAAGATGGGTGGCTGGAGTGGCTCGAACAGGTTGACTATCCGTTGTCAGGAGTGGGGAATAGCTGGTGTGCGTGAGCTTAAGTCACCGGGGTGGGAACGGGGGAATACATGATCGTGTGGGCTTGAGTCACTGGGGTATGGACTTGGGTTGTCTGCTTGTCCGTCTGGACTTGGAGGTGCTTCGAATCCATGATTGGGGTGTGGTTTCGGCAAGATGCTGTGTGTGTTCCTGATGTAGGTGGCATTGTGGTGTCCGCGAGATGCTGCGTGTATTGCCGGCGTAGGCGGCATTGTTGTGTCCGTGAGATGCTGTGTGTATCCCCGACGTAGGTGGTGTGGTGTCGGCGAGACGTTGTGTGTGTCCCCGACGTAGGCGACGTTGTGGTCTGCTGTGCATTGTAGCTGAGAGGCTGGCCGCTGCTTACTGGGTTCGACGGATGGCGGTGGTTGATGTAGTGGTGGAGGTGTGACCGGGTACTTGTTAATGAGGGGTTTCCAGATGTCGTTGATGTATAATCCTAAGTCTTGGAGCATGGTGAATTTCGATGGCTTCTTGGATTCGATGTGTATGCCAGTGCTTCATTCTGGAGATGAGATGACTGTTATCCCATTCGATGGTGTGTTTGTGTTGTTGGGCGTTTTTGATGATGGCAGACTTATCCCAATCGCTGAGTCTGAAGCTGGTTCTGTGCTCCTTGAGTCTTGTTTTCCAGATTTCTCCTCATTTCACCAATGTAGACTTTTCCACATTCGCATGGTATTTTGTGGACTCCAGCTTTCTTGCGGTTTGGATTCTTGTCTCTGTAGGAGTGGAGTATCGAATGGAGTTTGATAAAGGAACTCGGATGTCTGTTGCTTGAAGGATACGTTGGATCTTGTGAGAGGCTTGACCGATATAGGTAGAACAATCCGTGCTGTAGCTGCACGAGTTTGGCCAGCTTGATTTCACTGGGTCGCAACATGGCGTATATTCTTTTGTTCTGTGCTTGCACAGCAAAGCAGTAGTCGCCATATAAGCCATTTCGTAATTCCCTTTGCGCATGCGCCAGCTTCGTCGGGTCAAAGGTCAAAAGAAGTAAAATTGCCATGTTTTGCCCTTTTCCTGGAGATCGTGTGTTTAACTCAATTCATTTGTGCTGCGGTTATTATGAGCGTGTAATTTCTTACTGTCTTTGTTGAATCCCTGCGATCATCTCAGGAACAAATAGTTGAAAGGTTAACCTTTTTTATTTGTTTCTTAGATTTTAGCAATAGATCGTTGAAAAAAAGTATATTTGATGGATTTTTGAGGCTTTTGACAGCGAGTTTCGTGATCTCATCCCGTCGACGACCGACCTGCTTCACCAGTCATCAGTGTCGTCCGAAATTAAATTTCTTGGCGATGTTTCAGAAGAAAAATGCGATAAATTCACCCCGGATGATAGGAAGACAAGAATAAATAGTTATTATCAAGTACTGTTATGATTATGTTAGAACATATTACACTTATGCAATTTGATTACCGACTTGAAATCTGACATTCAATCCAATTTTCATATTTCATGAAATTTCATATGTCTGTCCCACGCATGAATTTTCATGTTTGAAAATCTAAGGTAGATCTATTTTGGGTGGAGGGGGCCGGGGATGGGGATATCAATGATATTGTCATGTGTGTCTTGATTTTGCTTTCCTGGGAATTATTTTTGGTTCAATTAAACCTGAAATTGTAATAAATTTTGCAACATCATGTGATTAGATGCTTCATTTTAAATGATTGATTGCTCAGACTCCCATCCTTGTACAAGTCCATCAGGGTCCGGCAAGATACCTGTTGGGGTCTTCAACAAGTCTCCGTAATGTTCCTTCTTCTGCTGCTCTGCCACACCGGCTGAGGTGGCTGGCGCCGCGAGCTCCGGCATCATCTTCGCAGCAAACACAAGCGCTACCAACTCCTCCTTTCGCCCGCTGACTTTCAAGTTCCTTTTGCGAAGATAATCTTTGAGGGCAGGAACTGTCCACAACTTTATGTCATCTATAGACACCACAGTATCGTCTTCCATTGTCAATACGAATAAAAAAGCAGTAAATTA